TTCAATGCATATTTTCCTCTAGTATATGCTGCAAAAAAAATGTCCTCTAGATTTAAGAGGATTGTCCTCTATGTAAAATTATTCCTCTTAATTTAAGAGAATACTCTTCTTTAAAGAGGAAAATATCATTTTATAAAAAGAATTCTGAAATAATAAAAATGCAATCATCTAATTTGTATGACATAGATATAATCTATAAAATATTAAAAGGAATAAAATTTGTTATTCCATGATTTACATCTACATTTGAGTATAAATAAATTGAAATTGATTTTAATTTTTTTTTTTTTTTTTGAATAAATCAATAAAATCTATTTTTAATAATATTTTTATGCGCAAAATATATAATTCATTAAATTTGAAAATTTATTTTAAATAAATTTTCAAATAAAATTAAAATAAATAAAAATCGTAATAAAATAAATTTTTAAATAGCATAAACTCAAAATTATTTAAATTTTCTAAAAAAATTACTTTTAAAAATTTTTTTTTACCTTCAAAAATAGACGCGTATTGTGTAAGTTGCAACTCTATCAATATATTTAAAAGATTATTATCCATTTTGATTTATTCCCATTTTTTCACACAGAAATGGGAAATCCTCTTAGAATTTAGAGGAATATTCTTAAACGTAGAAGATTATTCTAAATTCTAAGAGTATTATTTTTATTCTAAAACGATTATTCTAAATATAAGAGGAATGCTCTAGAATATTAGTCCTTTTGTTTAGATCCTCTTGAAATTAGAGGAAAATATTCTCATTTAAAGAGTAATACTCTTGTTTTAAGAATAAAATTCAAGAGGATTCTGTAAGAGGAATTTTCCTCTGAATACAAGAATATTTTTTTTCGGTGAAATAAATATTGTAGATTCAATTATAATTATTGATTTATAGAACAATTATTCTTATCGATTTATTTAAATAATGTATATATATATTAAAAGAAATGTTTATTGTTACTTATAAAAATAGTATATGAAATATACATATATATGTATATAAAATATCGATTAACTTGCATAAATATACATTATTTTAGACAAAAGAAAATTTCATAACAATTTATAGCCCTGAAGGCATCTCTCTCTCTCTCTCTCTCACTCTCTCCATTTCAATTCCCCTACAACTGTTGTTTGCATAATTTAGAATTTAATTATGGTACATTGTTTTAATTTTAATAGAATAATATTAATGTGATCACAATAATATAATTATTTAATTTTAAAAATACGAAAAAGTAAATTAATACACAAAAATTATTTTAACAGTAAAAGTAGATCATACGACCTTAAATGTTGATTATATTATTAAAAAAACTTATAATTTTTATAAAAAATAATATTAATATTATATTTTTATAAATAAAAATTTATAACACTAATACAATAATAATTTTAAAATACTTCATGAGAAAATTTGTCAAAATTAATAATTATTAATATTATTAATCAAATATTAATAATAATTATTACATTATTATGCATAATTAATATTGATAAAATTAATAAAACATTAAATAATACCATTTTAATTCACAAAAAATTAGGAATATTTAAATATAATTACATTTAGTTAATAATTTTTAGAAATACCCGTTAACTATCGATTAATTATTATATTATTAATTAATATAATTAATATTTAATCGTTCACAAATTTAATTTCATCAATAACATTATTAATAATTATAATTTTAATTAACAAAATTTAATTATTAATTAAAAAAACAATTTAATAATTAAATTATACAATTACATTATACATTTATAATATAAAACCGAAAAATGTGTAAAATAATAATTGTAAATTATTATTTTACTGTATTTAAAATTAATTTTTAAAATAACTAAACGGTCATTAGTAGCATCAGAAGATTCCTGGACAGTCTTTGCGATAATAAGACTACCAGGAGTGGATTTTAATCATAGATCATAACCCAATTTCATCACCTGCTAAGAGGATCAGTGATGACCCTACTGAATGACAAATTTTTCCTTCGTCTCTCGCCTTTATAAGGAGTCTATGGCTGATCTCATATTCGAGACACAGTGAGTCGCGCTCTATCTACTGGAAGTTAACAGAACTATTTCTACTTTTCTCCCCCTCTCTCAAAATTTCTGAAAGTGAAACACACGTGTTTCGTCGTGCCAACTCAATCGATTCAACAACACTCAATTCTATATATATATACGAGAGATAAGCCATGCCACATTTATTCTCACTACATTCAAAATGTTGACATTTTCTCAACTACTTATTGATAAATAAATAAAAAAAATAAAAATTAAAAAAATATTAATAAAAAAAAAAATTAGTCATTTCTTGTAAAATTGATATTTTTATAAATAAAAATATTTTTGAAAAAAGTAAAAATAAAAAAAAAACGCCCCCGGGTGGGCTCGAACCACCAACCTTTCGGTTAACAGCCGAACGCGCTAGCCAATTGCGCCACGGAGGCAGTTGTTCGATTGTGCCTTAGAACAAGTTTTGAATTTATGAAAATATTTTTATATCAAAAATTGTTTTTTTTATATATAAAAAAAAGGGGTATTAAAAAAAATCAAAATTTCTAAACCGCCTTTGTCAAATCTAACTTAACTCAGTTCTAATAAAACATTTTTATTTCTAAAATAAAAGTATTGATTTTTTGCAATTTATTTTATTTTTACCTTTTTCAAAAAAAAAAGAGAATTAAATTATTATATTGTAATTAAATATTTAAAATTTATCAAAATCTTTTTATAATGTATGAAAAATAATAACAAAATCTCATGTTATAAAAATAAATAGTAAATTTGTGATTGAAAATAATAAAATTGTAAAACACAGATATCAAATATAAAAAATCAAAATGTGAAATCAAAATTCAGCACGTATATGGGGTAAAAATCTACAACATCAACGTCAAGGACTGAATTTAAAAAAATGATATCCACCAGGGATATTATTTCTGTGAAAAATGAATAATTTAATATAAATGCGCGCACATGTTATAAAAGTGTATATGGACATTATTATCTAAATATTTTACAACGTAAAATGTCAGTGCCATTTCATCTCTTTTTCTATTTTTGAAAAATTTACCGACTATTACATTATATATATAAATGACACGAATTACGTGTATCACAAAAATACGATATTTTTTTTTACATAAAGATACAAAAAAATTCTTGTTTAAAAAAAAAAAAACAATTATTTATATATACAACAAAAGTTCACGTCTCTGAAGTAAGTAACTATCGTTTAGTCAATGATACCAACATAATTTGGAAAAGTGAGGTTACGTTTACCACATCTTGTTTCATGCATCATATTGGTATTGTTGACAAAACGGAAGTGACTTACTTCAGAAACGTGAACTCTTATCAGTTTATTGCTGTATCTTGTAAATAGTTTTTAAACAAAAAATTTCTTTTTTACCTTTATATATATATATATATATATAAAAAAAAAAATAGGGCACTGAGAAAAAGAATTATTTGTTTCAAACATAAACATCAGTTAAAATGATTTTGTTTGATTCAACACAGTTTGTATGTTTAAATTTAATATATTGAAAATATCTACCATATTAATTTAAACATATATTATTTGTTTGAATGTTCTGTTTGATTTAAGAAAAATTATATTTGAATTAAACATAAAATATGCTTAAAAACTTCATATTTCAAATCAAAATTATAATATGTTTGAAATAAACTTAAAAAATATGCTATTCTATTGACCAAAAAATATGTTTAAAGTAAACTTATAAATACGTTTGACTGTATATCAAAGACATTTTAAGTTTAATTCAAACAAAATATGTTTGAATCAAACATATAGTTTTCTCAGTGGGGAGAGTGGGTCAAAACCGGGTACCTTTTTGGAATTCTCGGTTTAAATACCCTATCATGGAAAACTGGGGATACCCGGTTTGACCCGCTTATACGGAAAAAAATAGTTCGCGAAACTTTCGTAAACTAGTTTTTCACTTTTGGACGGTCCCAAAGTTTGGAAATCTTTCATTAACTTTTTTCAAAATTTCACGAACGTTCATCACTCTCTCCATAACAATCAATGTCTGCGCACGCGCACAAAAAAAAATCTTGGAAAAAGTTAATAAAAGATTTCCAAACTTTGGGACCGTATACAAAAATGAAAAACTAGTTTACGAAAGTTTTACTAACTATTTTTTTCCGTGTACCCGGGTTTGCACAACTCTCCCCTATACCACCGTTATTTAAATTTTAATGTAATAAAAAAAAAAACTCCTGGAATGACATATACCTATAAATATTTTAAGAGAAAAGAGTAAAGAAAATTTTGATTTTTTTTTTTTTTTTTTTTTAAATTTTTGTCGCTCTCATAGCGCGTCTCGTGTGTTAAAAGTGAAAGGAGGGGGGGGGGGGGGCGCTTGTATATACCAATATCAAATTGCCGGCAATTTTTTTTCCCCGATTCCAATATCCGCCATCGCAGGACTCGTAATACCGGATCGGGATGAGAGAAACGCGCTATTAACAAGGGTTTGCCGGAAGGTCGATTTACGAGAAATAATTTCGCATGATTTCCATCGAATTGGGGCAACTATAGGCACCCACCACCACGGCCATACCCAAAGAGCAATCGACTCAGAATAATTAATTACGTGCAATTAGTTTTGGCAACAATTTATTATTTTCAATGCGAAGCAAATTTCACCTCATGTGATAGAAATGAGAATTATAAAATCAAACGCAAACACTAAATTTCGAGGAAACACTCAAATTGCTGTCTCTAAGTGTATATATATATATATATATTATAAAGTGCACATCAATATAGTTTTCATTAATTTCCCTGTATGTTTTCTCCAATAATTTATACTAATTTTGCAAATGTAAGGAAAAATAAATTCAATAATAACTTTTTCTTTTAAAGTTATTATTGATAAAATAAATATAAATTATATAATTATAATAATAATTTTTAGAGAAAAAATTATTTATAACCTATATTTCGTTTTTCTTTTTCAGATTCGTCTTGTTGGCAAAATGTTGTAACGCAGGAACAGAAAACACAAAGGTATATAAATAACAAAATGAATATTTTTTTTTTTAAATGTAATATTTACCAACATTAAAAAATGAAATAAATTTTTCTCGAAAGACTCTTTATATAATTTAACTCTTAGAAAATGACGGCAGGGATTTTTTGTAGAAAAAAAAAAATTCTGTTCCGTAGAATTTTCAAAATTTACTTTCCATATAGTTTTTATAGCACATATTTTTCACATTTTTTCCTTTATAAAAAATTCAGAGTCACATGAATATTCCATATAATGAAATTCTTTTATATTCTAACTATATATAATGAATTTTTAACATATCACTGAGAAAAAAGGTTTGAGCTGACAACCAAATATTTCATTCAATATATGTGCAACTAAAATCTTTTGGTTGACACAACTAAACTTTAGTTGACAACAACCAAAGTTTGTTTCAGACGACTAAATAAGAAAATGAAAAAGAATTTGGTAGTCTCAACCAAACTTTGGTTGATGTCAACTAAAGTTTAGTTGTGTCAACCAAAAAATTTTAGTTGCACATATATTAAATGAAATATTTGGTTGTCAGCCCAAACCTTTTTTCTCAGTGTAGGATAATGCTGTTTTTTTTTCAAATTTTATAACAAAAAATACAAAAGACTCACCAATTGTATATAGATTTTCTCTTGAAGCAATATAGCCACCCATTTTTTTTTTTTTTTTTTTTGTGAATCTGAAAAAAATAAAACTAATTTTAAATTTCGATTGAAATTCTTTAACATTATAAAAATTTGTGTGAAAAGAGAAATTCTATTATATAAAATTTCTAAAATTTCATGTTAATTTAAAATTCTATGGAGAAATCTTTTAATTGCGTTTGAGACAAAATTTATTTCAAGTAAATAAAAATATATTTGACTATACAAGAAAATTTTATAATTGAATTTTTCTTTTAATTTATTCCTTTCATATTTTATAAATAAGAATGTCTTTTTGTATAAATAAGCGGGAATAAAATTTAAAAATATCAAAATTTTTACAAAATCTCTTTTTTCTTTTTGAATTTTGATCGAGAGAAAGAATGACATCTCATGAGATATACAGATGATGATATATATATATATATATATAACGTGTGTATGTCGGGGTTATGCAACCGCATTAGTATTGCCAGTTGAACGCGATGCGAATGTCACCTAGGAATTTATCTTGACTCTATATTGTATATATACCTATATATATATATATAGCCAAGAGTTTTTAAAGTTGTAACATTGCGTCGTCAAATCACGTATTGACAACACTTTTTTTTCTGAAATATATTGAAGAAGAGATATCGTAAAAGACAAAACCCAATGTTTTCTTCCATACAAAAGGTATATACAGTAGTTCACTTAATATTTGAAAAACTTTATGACACTTTATACACGTCTAAGTGTACCAATCAATTGTGCACTTCTCAAATTACAGCCATTTTTCAACCAACCCCCCCCCCTCTTTACCCCTCGTGAATATATCGAAACTTTACAAGCGCGCAAACACGAGAATGATATCTGCATAGATGAAACTCGAGAAAGTTTATAAATCGAAATTATTCAAATTTTTACCCTATATATATATATATATATATATATATATATATATATATATATATATATAATATATATGTCTATATGTATATCAGGTTCATATTTGCGTACACTTTATGTATGAACCAATTCTTTTACTGATATAGGTGCGGTTTTAAAGAAAAGGTTATTTTTAATTTCTAATTTATAAATTTTTTTTCTCTAAATTTGAATCATTGAGATTTTACTAATAGCTGGAATTTAATAATTGCATCACTTCAATATAAGATTTACATTAAAATTCCATTTGTATTTCATTGAAAATTAGTAGAATTCTACTTTATTGATTGAAATCTGTTTTAACGATTAATGATAATGCAGATTTAACATCAATTAAATAATAATCTGTTTTACCGATTAATAATAATGTAGATTTAACAGCAATTAAATAATATTCTGTTTTACCGATTAATAATAATGTAGATTTTTCATCAATTAAATAATGATCTGTTTTACCGATAATGTAGATTTAACACCAATTAAATAATATTCTGTTTTACCGATTAATGATAATGCAAATTTAATACCAATTAAATAATAATCTGTTTTACCGATTAATAATAATGCAGATTTAACAGCAATTAAATAATATTCTGTTTTACCGATTAATAATAATGTAGATTTAACATCAATTAAATAATAATCTATTTTACCAATTAATAATAATGTAGATTTAACACCAACACAGAAAATTAAAAGGCATTAAAATAATCTGCAATGCTTATTATTTTAATCCAATTTTGCTTATTTTAATCTATTTTGGTATTAAAATAAGCAAAATTGGATTAAAATAATAAGCGTTGCAACTTATTTTAATGCCTTTTATTTTAATTTTCTGTAAATTAAATAATATTCTGTTTTATCGATTAATAATAATGCAGATTTAATACCAATTAAATAATAATCTGTTTTACCGATTAATGATAATGTAGTAAAATTTTCATTATATTTAATATAATTTTCATTATATATTCATTATATTTATTTACACATTATATTTAAAATCAATTATACAATTTATCAGTCAATTTATTATTTATTTAAACAGTCAAATCCTGCATTATCATTAATCGGTAAAACAGATTTCAATCAATAAAGTAGAATTCTATTAATTTTCAGTGAAATACAACTGAATTTTAATGGAAATATATAACTAAATTTTAAAAGAAATCTCACTCAAGTAATTCAGTTGTAAAATCCCAACTATTTCAGGAGAGAAAATTCACAAATTTAAATTTAGAGCTGTTCGATTCAATTTTCCGACTGTAGTCAATTTTGATTTTTCTAATTTCGAAGGAAGCTGATTCTTTTGTTGCACTGAATTTACGAATAAATATATATATATGTATATATATATAAGTGACATGTGTGTGAGCCGTTGGCGGTAAGCTATCCATGAAAACATAAAGTTTTAAGTCAGTAACAACAGTGGAGGTCAAACGTCACCCTGAGTTACGGCTTAGAAGCTCGAAAGTTTCAAGCTTTAGTTCCACCATTACATATAATAGTAAAAGAGAGAGAGAGAGAGAGAGAGAGAAACATGTGTGCAAAAGTCCTTTCTCTATTTAGAGTACATATATGTATATATATGTAAACCGTATTATAATTATATAATTTCTTTCGCATAATATGGAAAATAAATAAACGCCACTGTAAAAATATATTTTACATTCCCGAGGGTAAATTTTACCTTAAAACTTTTTTTTTTCCTCCTTTTTTATTCTCAACAAAACACATATTTTTCAAGGGAAAAGGAACATTTTCATGTTTCTCGATCGATGGACTCGAGTAGTGTATTTTCCCTGCACTTTGAATAGATGGTTTATGCTATATAGGCAAAAGCCTCAGAGTTTAAAAGTCAAACTGATATTGAAGAATCTCCCTCAGAAGCGTTTTGATTTTATTCAATCACTATTGCGCTATTCTGTATTAAAAATCAACACCATATCTCATGTTTAATTTATATAAATTTTTTTATACTATTTTTTCAAATTTAATATCCATTCAGAATTTAAAAAAGCTTCCATCACTTTTTCTTTTTTCAATAATAAATGTCTACATCCAACTAATTTTCATTTTCCATTAATTGAGAAAGTGAAAATTAAAAAAAAAAAAATCGAACAATTTTTGTGTGGTTGATTTTAATAACTTTTTTCCATTTGGTAAAATGAAAATTGTTAAACGATTCTCAGTCTTTGATGTTTTTATAAATAAATAAATTAAAGTACAGAATAGAAATTTTTTTTTTAAATAAAACTTTTGGAAAAGAGAATTTATTTATTTTTTTTTTTTATAAATCTTATATGTTTTAAATAAATAAAATGTGTTTATCAGAATTAAATCCAACTTTATAAATGAGAATAATAATTTTATTTTAATAAAAATATATAAAAAAATCCTGTGTCACACATTTTTTGTAAACTAAATTTTCGAAACATATATTCCACGCGATTCACATGAATATTGTATGAAATTTGACACGCAAATTTTTCTCTGAATTTTCTGCAGATTTTTTCTGGGAAAAATTTACGTTCACAAATTTTATTACTTGTTTATATTTAAACAAAAAAAAAATTTTAATCTTTATTTTTTATTTCCCTTTTTTTTTTAAAAAAAAAAAGCGCAATTTAATGTAAAAGTTTATTTGTATATAATTTTTTTTTTAAATTCATTTAAAATTGATAATTTAAAAAAAAGTTTCATTGTATTCTTAATCCGGTAATTATTTATATATATATATATATATAGTAATATAATTGCTCGAAAATTAAACTAAATTTAATTACATCTCGTCACGAAGTTCTCTCTCTCTCTATGTACGCTCGGAGAAATGAGGAAGCTGCTCACTTTGATTGCGGTTGCAATTAAGACATTCATCGTAATTTCATTAACAATTTCGGTTTACCAGTCGAAGTATCGTACTCTCCAAATGTTCGAATTAAGTGTCGTTAAGTTTGATCGTTCCTTCGATGTGAAACATTAACTCTTCAAACATTAAAAGCTTGTTTTTATCGAGTTATAAAAATAAACTGATTTAATTCGCATTAAAATTTTTTTATATATATATATATATATATATATATATATATATATTAACAAAAAGTTCACTATATATTATTATTTTTTTTTTTAACGAACAATAATCAATTTTAATGATGTAATTAATTGTAATCTAGTTAAGAATCTTTTTTTTTTTTTAAAAAAAAAATAACTTCTAATTTGAAATGATATTAAAAATTAGATTGGAATTCACTGATTTTAATAACAATTAGATTTTATAATATAAAGTATTCAGAATAATTAAAATTTAAATATGTGTACTTTAAATTTAATTGATACTCGCAAAATTAATTTGATGCCTATTAAATTTAATTGAAGTGTAGATAATTCTGTACAACATATGTATGTAC